ATAATGTAAACAGTAAACATTAGTTGATTGGTTTTACTTAGTGGCATATCAACCTCTATGGGTTATTTAATGCCGAAATCTAAATATTTTGAACGCAAATGTATGCCTTCAATTACAGACAAAATGTATTGTTGGTAACGTTACTATAAATAGATATTGTTAGTAATTTTCTTATAAAAAATGTATAGCTAGTATTTTTACTATAAAAAATGTATTTTAGACTTTTATAGTGTTTTGTTTGGGGCGTGGTCACTTTTTGTCTATAGGTGCTACCACTTGGGGTCAGGGTGGACCTGGGAACGACAGAAATTAAGTGATGTTTCGATACTCCTCAAAACCTTCAATTTCCCGATTAGAGTCCTTGCTGCCGGGTGTAGTTTATCGTCATCATACCCAGGACTTTAAATAAACAGAAAAATGGTTGCGTATAAAAGCGTTCATCAGAAACAGTTTTACGCTTGTAAGTTTTCATTTAGATTTTGTTGAGATTTACATAAGACGCGTTTCTTTAAAAACATCTCTTGCCAAAATCAACCTGCGTTTCACACAAATATAGCCTGTTTACCAGAACGAGGCTACTACCTCTTGCTTGACACGCTCGTCACCTGATGACGTGTGAATGGAACATATTGGATTATAAATGATTAAATTATGATTATTGATCAAAATGTAAAATAAAAATAAGATATATATATATATATATATATATATATATATATATATATATATATATTAAGCGTTTCACCCCAAGCAAGGTGGGAAGCCACTAGGACGCAAGGGGTTACAGAAAATTTGGAGCAAGATCAGATAGGAGTGATAGAAGAAAAAGGATGAGGAGAAGGGTAGTGGATAGATCAAGGCAACTGGAGATGTCGATTGACATTACACTTGAATAGCTGGAGATTATAGCTCTCGGGGAAACTGGAATAGGGAAGGGTGTTCTACAGGCGAGAGGTGCGAGACATGAAGCTATTGGAGTAGAAGAGACGGCTAAATTTAGGAGTTTCGACAGTGAAGGGATGAGAGCGGGATGCCAGCCTCGTAGGGCGCTTGAACTCATGAAGCCTAGGAACCATCGAATGCAGCTCCTCGGAGCAATTGCCATGAAAGTATTTGTAAAACAGACAGAGGGAGGCGACGGTGCGTCTGTGAGAAAGTGACTGTAGACGAGATGCCAGATCAGGGCCAGTTATATTGCATATCCGCCTCTGGAGCCTATCAAGAACCCCGAGGCAAACAGAAGGGGCTCCAGACAATATATATGGCAGCAATACTCCATGCAAGGGGGAATTGTTGATTTGTAGATCTGGAGGATCGATTCCGGGGAGAAAAATTTCCTGGCGCCGCACAGGAGCCAATATATATATATATATATATATATATATATATATTGATGAATCATAAGTTAAATATTAATAAGATTTATATATCCCTTGCTAAATTATTGGTATTTAATGCGCCTGCGCGTGTGATGCGTCAGCACGCGTTATATTGCGAGAAATAAAATATCAAAATGGAATAGCGAATCTCGTACATGCAATTGTTTCTAAGAATTTTGTCGGTTAAAATACTTATAAATTTAAAGGACTCCCATTTTTATAAATTATTCAAGGGGCGGGGGGGGACTGATATATTAAAAAAAAAACTAATCTGAACTGTATAAATATGTAAAAGTCTTTTGCTCATGCGCTGAAAGATTGTTTCAGGTTTGGAGGAAAATTTAACCGAGAAAATGTCAAAAATTATCGATTTCGTCCCACTTTTCTTTTTCAGTTCATGCATCTGCCCTTCGATTATTCTCCTGAATTATTTCTCTCTCCCAAATGTTCCGCTTTTTAAGCTTCTAAATCCATGTTTGAAGATTATTGCAGAAAAATGCAAATATTTATTCATATTCGCATGCGTTTCTTTTTTGTTTCGTTTCGTTTCTTTCTATCTTGCTTTCTTTTCAGCAAATGTCAGCAGGAAGCATCCTTTGCAACTGTAAAATGATACTTCTCCAACGAATTTTTTTTTTTTAAATCTTCATAAAAGTGTAAAGCACTTTAACGTTTAAAAAAAAAAATTGTCGAAAATATTCCAAGAAAGTCTTGGAGATAAAAACCTAATAAAACGAAATAAAAAAAAATCGAGAAAAATTCAATCGAAAAAAGTATTCACTAATTGAGTTTTCAGTCAGGGTTTCTCAAATTGCAAATGTTTATTTAATTACAATTTTTCTCCCGCAAAATATGAATAATATAATGGCTAACTTAAATTTATTTAAATTCCATTTAAAACTAAATTTTAATTTATTTTATTTTCTTTTTTAAAAATTGATTTTTTTTTTCATCAACCTTTGGAATTAAAATCGAACAAATGTTTTGCTTGGAAAATAGTTTTCAAATACCATCGAAGAGAAATTTTCTCCTCGCCACGATATGTGCAGTAATGCAAGGGTTGTCAGTGAGGAAAATGGATTGGGTGTGCCGAGTTCAAATTCCAACCTAGTCTGTTGTGTTCACTTTCGCATAAATGCTTATGGAATAGGTAAGGATTCCTTTCTTTCGAACTATGATGTAGGGAAGAGATGGAATCATGCCTTCCATGGCAAAGTATACTGCACTCTCTAAACTTGGGTGGTGATCAATCAAGAAGTATTACTCTGTATTAAAAAAAAATCGTGGAGAAAGCGAGAGGAAATCACTTCACTATTTTACCCAAAATTGTCATGCTAATTTACAGATTAAAAAAAGAAAATGAAGCTGTGAAGGACCATGATCGCTTATGTCCGGAAGAGACAAGGCATTTAAAACATCATAATTATGAGGTACCGTGTAATAATTTCCAGCCGCACGGAGTATGTTCCATAGAATAAGATTGCTATCGTAAATTACTTATGAAATCTATATCTATAATTCTCAAAATGTATGTATGTATGTATGTTTGTATGTATGTGTGTGTGTGTGTGATCAGATGTTGTTTATGCGTTTCCACATTTTTCATCCGATTTCGATTAATTTTTTTTGTTTGATAGATAATTCTTCAATGCCGGTTTTGAGTCCAAATTGACTGGGAAAAAAATTACAACTTTGAAGGTGAAAAATCGAAAAAATCGATTTTTTACACTTTGCGCAAAAATCAAAGGCAAAATTTAATGTCTTCAAAAAACAGCGTACAATCAATTTAAAGAGTTGAAATCTAACGCAAAAGATTATTAGAATTATAAAAAAAATTATATTATAAATAAAAATTAACGTATATTATTATTATGACAGTCCATAGAAGAGGTACCTTCTTTGCAAGATTGAGAACACAAAAACGGCCTTTTTCAGGGCCACCCCAACATTCAAATTGTTGCCCCCACACCATTTGGGGATGTGTCTCAGTTGCACCTAATTGTTACTAATATTGATTTTCTGATGGGATGATTTTAAACTTAAACTGCTCCAATTGAACGGCAAAAATTCCGAGTAATGAAACAGCCGGTCGAAGACAGATTATACTGGTAATCTCTTATAAGTTACAATAAATTTTATAACCCTTTTCCTCCAGGTATGGATTTGCATCACGAAATCATTATTATCTTAAAAAATTCTTACAATGTAAAAATATTTTCTGGCTTTAGATAACTTGCAAAGGGTTGATAAGCCGTAAAAAACAAATCAATCTTTTTATTCTTGAATTTTTTAATCTCTTCACTTTTTTCTAATCCTTAAATATTATCTCTTTGGTATTCCGTATATACTCGGGTATAGTGCGAGTTTTTATGGTCAGTTTTTTTTTTTTTGAGGGGTACGTAACAAATAGACGATTGCACAAAACAGATAAATTTTTAGAAAAAAACTTGGAGGTCGAACAATTACATGAAATCAGCCTAGGCACAAGTATATACGGTATTTGTACGTTGATTTCGCAATTGTCATTATCTACACTTATCTATTTAGATGTGTAGATAACTATTCAGTTATTTAATACAACATATTAATTCATATTTTTCTTCATTTTGAATTTTGAAAAGTCTATTTATAGAATGGTGATTGGGAAGCCTTTCGTTATATAATGTTTCATCATAATTTTTATGGTAATTTTCTGTTTATTTTCTTTATTTTGATTTCTTGATAGTTCAACGCCTTTTCATTATTTTCTTTTTTTTCCTCTTTCTTTCGTTCTTACGATTTTCTGTTTCTTTCTTTCTTTCTTTCCCTTATTCGTTCCTTTCTGTGTATCTCTTCTTCTAATTCCACACCATCAATTTTGCCTTCTTCCTTTCTTTCTTTCTTTCTTTCTTTCTTTCTTTCTTTCTTTCTTTCTTTCTTTCTTTCTAATTCCTTACCATTCATTTTGCCTTCTTTCTTTCCTTTCTTTCTTTCTTTCTTTCTAATTCCATACCATCAATTTTGCCTTCTTTCTTTCTTCTTTCTTTCTTTCTTTCTTTCTTTCTTTCTTTCTTTCTTTTCTTTCTTTCTTTCTTTCTAATTTCCTTACCATTCATTTTGCCTTCTTTCTTTTTTTTCTTTCTTTCTTTCTTTCTTTCTTTCTTTCTTTCTTTTTCTTTCTTTCTAATTCCTTACCATCAATTTTGCCTTCTTTCTTTTTCTTTCAATTTTCTTTCTTCTCTCCAACATTTTGCTTTCTTTCTCTTTTGCTTCTGAACTTTTCCATTTTTTTTCTTCTTAAATTTGACTATATTTTTTTTCCTATCGTTCTTTCGCCGTTCCTCCTCCGTGGCACGGTGGAGTAATGGATAGCGTCTCGGATTGAGCAATAGGAGAACCGAGTTTGAATTCCTGTCGGGTCTATTACATTCACTTACGTGCTAATACCCTTGGGAAAGGTATGGATCCTCTTCTTCTCTCCCCCATTAATAGATAAATGGTAATGCAGACTGGATTGGCAACCGGGCTAGGAGAAATTAACTCCGAATTGAAAACTGTATGGAGGCCCTGACGTAGCACTTAATATACAGCTAAATAAAAGATCGTTCGTATTGGCTCGATGATCCTGACTACGATATGATGATGACCTTTGTCATTCAATTTTTCTTTTCCTTTCCTCTTTTAACGTTTTTTTCACTATTTTTTCATTCTTTTCTCTTTTTGTTTTTTACCATTTTTCGTGTTTCTATCTTTCTTTACATTTTTTCTTAAGTTTTTTTTTACCGTTAACCTTTCTTTCTATATTTCTTTCTGTTTTTCTATCTTTCTGTATCTTTATATCTTTCTTTCTATCTATTTTTCGTTTTATCTTTCTTTTTTTATCTATCTTTCTTTCTCTCTATTTTTCTATCTTTCTCTTTATCTATTTTTCTTTCTTTCTACTTTTCTTTCTACTTTTCTTTCTTTGTATCTTTCTTTCTACCTTTTCTATATATCTGTCTATTTTTCTTTGTATCTTTCTTTTGTCTATTTTTCTTTCTATCTTGCTTTCTTTCTTAATCTTTCTATTTCTATTTTTCTTCATTTTTATTTTTTCCTTTTTGTCTAAACATTTTCTTTCTTTTCTCTTTTGTTTGTAACTTTTTCTTTCTTAACTTTTCTTTAATTCTTTCTCTCTTTTTTTACTTCCCATTTTTTTACCAATTCATCCTTTCTTTTCTTGAAATTATCGCACAGTATACAAAAACAAATATCTAAATCTAGTCACGTGTTACTTGCTAAGTGAGGAAAATAGACTATGCAAATGTTCCGGAGGCATAAAAAAAAGCGCGAGAGAGTGAAATTAAGACAGAGAGTGAGTACCTGTGAGTGCAAACGAGAAAGTGTGACATTTAGGGAGGAAGAAAGCGAAAGAATTTAACCAGCTTAAGGATGCTTAACAAGAAATATGAATACGGGACATTGTTTCGTCTCAAGTCTTCGTCTTTGTTCGTTTATTGCCGATGGTGGCATCGGGAATCGTGACCGAATGAGGATGGTCTCACCCTCTCCTTCATACCCTCCATTACCCAATAATCAATCTCCGACATTCCCGTCACTCAGCAACCCTGGCTGGGTCATCAGTCATCAGGGTGGATGATTGAACCTAGTGATTATACCTGTCGCAGGTGCGTGCTGGAAAAAAGACTAGTCGTAGTGCGATGTACATAGATAAGGCGATTTAAGGAAACCTAACAAAGGATAAAATAAAATTTGCAGATTAGGTGATATATATATATATATATATATATATATATGTGTGTGTGTGTGTGTGTGTGTGTGTGTGTGTGTGTGTGTGTGTGTGTGTGTGTGTGTGTGTGTAAAAGTAAACTGCAAATTTTTATTTCTATGCTCCCGGAAAAACCGGTTGAGCTCTGTTGATTTTAAATACAGCAGCTCATACCGCTCTCTGGCGTATTTGGCATAGAAAACGTAAATATTTACCCCCCCACACACACTCTGGGGTAGCTTAGGGTAGAATAATCGGTCGGGTTTCGATCCCGGCTTTGAAGAAATCGGACGTCTAGCCACACTGAAGAGCTGTGATACAGCGAAATAGTCTCTATGTGGATGCCAATATATATATATATATATATATATATATATATATATATAAGTGAACATTGAAGTCAACTCTCAGAGGCGATAGGCTATTTCATGCTAGACGCAATCGTCAGGCCGCACGATTATGTCTAGCATGAAACAGCCTGTCGCCTCTGGGTGTTGACTTCAATGTTCACTTTATATTTATATTTACATACGCTCTATCTCTGATAATGAGCACTTTATCCCGTAAATATAGCACACCTTAAAACTAAATTTCTTCATATATATATATATATATACATACATATATATATATATGTGTGTGTGTGTGTGTGTGTGTGTGTGTGTGTGTGTGTGTGTGTGTGTGTGTGTTAGTGGATACCCAAATTTGAATAGACACTCGCATATTTTTAAACTATATTTAATGCTTCGGCAATCTGAGAAGGAGTTTCGCTTATAAGGCACTATTCGGCTTTACTTGATCAGCGAGAGCATTCGCGGCTGAGATGATCTAAGGCACTTCGAAACTAACCACGGTTTCTTTTGCTAAGCGAGACGCAGATTCGAATCCTGCCAACGATCACATCTTTACCCTTTAATGAAAAGGTAACGAATTAGACTCGATATAGCGCCGCTCGATCACATCGTCCTAAATCTTATATATATATATATATATATATATATATATATAATGAAATCTCCCGTCGAGTTCGACGTATGAGGCTCCGACGGCTACATACTAACTATATGCATGCCTATGACGGGCATTACTTCTGAGGCCGGGTCGAGAATCGCACAAAAAACCACAAACAGTACAGGAGAAAGTTCTGCATGCACGTAAAGCAGGAACACTACATCTAATTAGTTCCACAAAATTCAACAATAACAATTGCTGGCCGAAGCCCTAAAGGGCAAACAAAACCCAATGAAAGTATAAACAAAACCATTTTACTCACTACAAAGATGTAACTACGTTTCAATGCATTTCAACGGCACTTCGACAGGTGAGAATCGAAAATCATTTTCGATTCTCACCCGTATCGGTATCGAGCCATCT